GAGTGGGCTGGAGAGATGGGAAGGACAGGGAAGGAGGAGGCAGAAACTGCAGATCCCCCCATCGGAGCCAACAAATCTGTCATCTCTTGCACTATCTTCCTGCAACTTCTTACACACAGCTTTTAAAATGCAGTTTATATATACTTTTAATACCAACATGTTCCTTGCTAAATAGGTTTTTTAAAAAAGAAATCTCTCTAAACACATTAGTCCCTGGACTCACTAAATATGAACAATGGAAGGAAAAATTAATACAGCAATATCCCAACTGATGCCAGTGTTATCACTCCAGGCATGAAATCATTTTGTACCTGCTTTTATCTTTAATTCCAAGACTTGTCTCCAAGGCAGAAAGCCAGCTCTACACAAGCTGAATTAATATGCAAAATAGATGGGGTTCAACACCTGCCTATCAACTAGTTAAATAATAACCCATCATTATTTTTTTAATTTTTTAGTTGCTGATAGATTTTTATTTTTTTAATACATGGTGCTGAGAATTGAACCCAGTGCCTCACACATATCAGGCACGTGAGCTGCCACTGAGCACAGCCACAGCTCCCCCACCATTATTTTCTATGTATGACTATTCCACAGCATACCTTACCTGTCATACACCCCAGAAACCACAGAACCTCCAATCTCAAACTCCTGTGCCCCTCTCAAACATTTCACTGGCATATTACTTTTTCTAGTACTATATGAATAATATAATGAATGAAAAGCATTGCTGCTTTTTTATTAATGTTAATAAAACTTTTCTATCAAGAGAGAGTTAAGTAATAAGTCTTAAAATGTAAGGCTTTTTGATTCTGAAATCTCACTAGAATCAATATCCAGTTCCACAACTGAAGGGGCCTAAGTTCATATGGTTCCAAAAAACAACAACAACAACAAAAACCCAGTAATGATGGCCTAGATCAGCAAATTCCATTTCCAAACTTTTTCTAATATTCCTCTTCTCTATGTACATGACAACATAAGCAATTAATAAACTGATTTTTTAAATGGCAAACAATTAACATCCAATATTATAATTTTAATAGGTTTATAGTACACTACTTCACTTGTGTACATAAATGCCAAACCATTATTTCAAACTAGATTTTTATGATATTTATATTGGTTTGTTTCTTCTTCTTTTTTTATTTTTTTTTTTTGGGGGGGTGGGGTTTGGTTTTTTCAGTGCTGAGGACAGAACCCAAGGCCCCTTGCATGAGCTACATCACTGGTCTATGGTTATGGTTAATGTTGTTGTTCTTCTTCTTACACTATTTCTTGTTTTCTGGGATGACTCTTGCTACTTAAAATTGCACCTTTCTCTTCCCAAATGAGTAAAGACAATTTTCCAAGGTTCCCTCCTCTTCTAATATACTCACTTTGCATTAAATTAACTGTTGATTACTTGGATTACTTTACTGAAAGTAAACATTCTCATTTGCAATCCCAAATAGAGAGAGATAGAAAAGGCTTAACTTTGAATTAAAACTGTGCCCTTTTAATACTAAATTTACCTTACTCTTTGTGGGTTTTTTTTTTTTCTTTTTGGTACAGGGGACTGAACCCAGGGGCTCTTTACCACTGAGCTGCATCCCCAGCCCTTAGAGACAGGGTCTCACCAAATTGCTTAGGGGCCTTGCTAAATCTCTGAGGCTGGCTTCAAACTTGCTATTCTCCTGCCTCAACCTCCAGAGTCACTGGGATTACTGGCATGTGCCATGGTGCTTGGCTCTTTCGTGTTTTGTTTAGACTTTGAAAAGCTTTAAATTTCTAAAAACTTCAAGTCCTAAAAGTTGAGGTAAGGACATTCCTAAGCATGCTAGGCTGGTGGAAAGAAGAGTCTTTTATTTTTTAAAAGAAACATAAATTGCATTTCCACATGCCTCTCAGGGATATATTTATTAAGGGATTACCAAGAGAAATGGTAATGAGCTTCAAAGGATGTATCCTGCAAGTGTTAATGAAATCATATGTACAATTCCCAATCCAATCACCTACAAAAGGATGTGGTCATTGTCATGCATTTCAAGCTTTCTTTCTTTTCAGCTCTAATTTTTTACTCCAAAGGAAAAAAATAATTGTCAGTAGGTCCTCATCTTTTCCACCACTAAAAGTAGCATCTTTAAAGTCTCCATCTCCTAACTAAATGACTGTTAAATTAGATTTTGTATTCAAATTTACCTCTTTCGCTGAAATGAAAATTCAGTGACATTTTATTAAAAGATACAAATGTAAGACTTAATGAAAGAAAATGCTTCATATAGATGTGTGAGACAGGCTTCCTATGGAATAGCAAAGTATTTCATACATGAAAAACCCCTTTGTACTATTTACCCGCTTACAAGGATACTGAGCCAACAAAGGACAAATTTTTTAAAAATCAGCTTTTTCCCTTATATATTTCAATTATAAATTTATAGGCGAGGAAAAGCAAGTAGGCTGGTAGAACTTAGCAGAAATATTTGTGAGTACCAAATGCTACTTACCAGCCTGCTAAAGCCCTCAGTACTTAACACTTGAGAAGATGGTAATATCTCTTAGCCCTTCAATTAGAGTGTCTTTATTTGCATTTTTTAAAAATGCCCTCATTTCATATACCCTAGAACTAACCATCACAAGAAACCAAAATAATCTGCTGTGGGTTTCATACTCCAGCCTTCCCAGATAGCCCTACATTTCTGCTTTTCTTTACAGCCAGTCTTCTGGAAAGAATCTTCTTATGCTACCTCCACATTCTCTCTCTTATTCATTCTTCAGTATATTCCCTATTATCTTAGTCAATCTCACCAAGGATATCAGTGGCATCCCCTCGAGCCAATGAATCCCAAGTGACATCTCTTCTGTCTTTCAATTCTCCATGAGAGGGGGGACACTTGCAATCTTCCTTCTACCTTTCCTGACTACTTTTTCCTCATTTTCATTTGCCCCTTCATATCCCAGTTTTTAAACTTGACAGCTCTTTGGGAATCGGTGTCACTCTTCAAATTCTCTGTCTTGGAGAGCTCATCTACTTCTTTTTAAATACAAGGACAATTCCAAAATATAAGTCTCTCAATTTGTCCCTTGTGGACTTCAGACCCAAATTCACCCTCCTCCTCGCTTGTCTCAAAGGCAGCTACACCTAAAGGTACAGACCACTTGTTAAGTGTAGTGGTTCCCCACTACCGCCAGCTTCCTCACCACCCCGCTACAGCCTTCTGCATTTCAACAGGTGGGCCTCCATCTGTCCAGCTGCATCATGCTGGGTACAGACCACTTCTCAGACTCCCAACTCCAATCTGCCTCATGCATATCAAGGTTACCTCTTGTGTTTAAAGAAAGAATAAGAGGAAGACGGAAGGAAGATCTAGGCAGAGGTTGTCAACAAGCAAAATCAGAACAGCATGAAAGATCACTTGCTCTTACTTAGGTGAGAGGACACGGTCTTCTGTGGCTGGAACAGAGGGGTGTGGGAGTGGACGACGAGGGGCCACGAGAGCCAGACAAGCAGAGGGCGAGCCCAGCAAGCTGTCTGGCTTCACCAGGGGGACCTGGCCTCCTTACACAGAGGTCAGTCTGGCAGCCATGAGGACAGCTGACATGGGAAGGACAGCTGGATTTCCCCATTGTTTCAGCTCAAAATTAGGCCAAACAGGCCTTGATGAGGCAACAGAGGGTCATTTTCTCCTCACAGTACAAAGCAGTCAGCTTTAGGATTAGACATTAAAAATACCTTCCAAAAAGGTGGCAATAAATAGTTGACCAATAGTGGGGAAAATTCTGAACAGTTTTTTGTTTGTTTTGGTTTTTTTCCCCCAAATATGCTTTTTAGCCACATACACAAAAATGTAAGTGACAATCCTCTAAGCCTGGGCTGGGGCTGTAGCTCAGTGGCTGGCCTAGCATGTGTGAGGCACTGGGTTTGATTCTCAGCACCACAAGCAAAAAAAATAAAGCTCTGTCAACAACTAAAAAAAAAAAAAAATTAAATCCTCTAAGCTAATATGTCAACTCTGATAGAGGTCACTGATTTTTTTAAGATTATGCCAAAAGCAGCAATTTGGAATTTTTATGAAGGAAATATAAGAATCAAAAATTACTTCCATAATGACCACTGTAAACCTGCAAAAGATTTCCCAAGGTCTATCAATATGGAGATGAAGATTTCAAAATAGCACTGGGCACCTACTATTCAGTGTTATAAATTTAAAACACCTAATCAAGATTTTTTTTAAAGGCCATAGTCCTCTATTTCAAGCAGTTTGCATTTGACAAATTACCCTGAGAAGCAAAAACATCCCAGTCCCCAGGAAGTAAGGACTCAGCCCAGAGAAGGGGGCTGCAAGCAAGTGTGTGGGGCAAGATGGGTTTCCATAAGAAATAATCACTAACCTTCAGTCCCAAGTTAAGAGACCAGTTTTAAACTGCAGATGTAATTAAAAGTCACAGACTATTTCAGAAAGATAAAAGGGAAATCAGAGATAAATAAAAGTGCAAGGACACAGCCTGGTAGGGAGTCACATGATGGGGCAAGAGGGTATGGACCAGCCAGGGGGCCTCTGGTGCTGGGCCCAAATCTGCCACACGCTCTGTGACCTCAATAGAATTTGGTTTCCCTTTCTGTTCTAAAATTCCAAAATTCTTGGGTTCCTGGGAACCAAAAAACAAAACTGCTGTAACTACCAGCGTGAAATCTAAGGAAAATCTGCCCCTGTAAGATGCCAGCCGTGTTCACTAGTGTCCCTCCTGGTCCACAATTCTTCTAGGGCAGGCAATCGTCAGCACTCTAGTAAGAGACAGGGGCATTTACCACTGCACAGAAGGTGCAGGCAGAAGGCAGAAGGCCTCATTAACTATTTGAATCTATTACATTTCTTCTCTTTTTTTAAGTAAGGTACTGGGGATTGAACTCAGGGGAACTCAACCACTGAGCCACATTCCCAGACCTCCATTGTATTTTACTTAGAGACAGGGTCTCACTGAGTTGCTTAGCACCTCACTTTTTGCTGACTGACGCAGACTTTGAACTCATGATCCTCCTGCCTCAGCCTCCCAAGCCCCTGGAATTACAGGTATGCACCACCGTGCCTGGCTAATATTTCATTTTGTTCACTGAAACAATACATTATTCAGATACCCAGATTATATGAAAAAGTTAGAAAAAACACTCTTACCTAATAGACTAGAAAAATCTATTTATAGTAAGCTGGTGGCTTTTATTTTTAAAATGTTTAGGTCTATGAGTACGCAGAAAAATTAACAAATGCAGTTTAGAATATATGTAGGCCTAGATATGGTGACTATGTAAGCATCCACCTTATCAATATACATAATTTCATATTTCCAAATCCACTTGGTGCCAAATACCAGGGTATAAAACTTCCTATACTTCAGGAAAAAACATCAAGAATCTTTCTTTGGCTGTTCCTACAAGTTCCCCTAATAAATTTTAATAAAGTAGGCAGCTGGCTCTCCTTTGGAGGAAGGGGGATTTGAGCTAGTGTCAGGTTTTAATAGAGTTCAGGGACCCTTTTAATAGGGAAGACAGGGCTAGGGGCTGGCAGAACTACTTGCAAATTAAGACTATGGTGTGAGTGGCAGATGAACCCATTCAAATTCCAGGATCTTTGCATTATGTGCACTCTGTCAAGAACAAGGTTACCAAACCTGGATTCCTGGATAACAAAGGTTCAGGAAGGGGCACCTAAGGTCCTCAGAGTGTGTCTTGCAATTTCAAAGCAAAGTGCACATCTAGCAATGACACTGGCTGCACACACCAACCTGGCTTCTTTGCTTTTGGTTGGGAATTTATTAGTTAAGGTTACAAACTACGGCTGCAACACTGCTTGGTTCATTAATACATCCCTTCAACAAACACTTGCAGAACAGATGTTCCGAGGCCTGGTGATACATCTTATAAAGATGAACAAGGTCTCTGCTTTGGTGAAGACTGTATTTGGAAGAGCAAAATATATTTTAAAAGTCAGCTCGAGATGGATGTTATTAAACAGTCCAGGTATAGTAGAGGAGTGCTGCTTTGGGCTGGGTGGTTAGGAATGACCACTCGAGAAGAAGACATTTAAGCCATATTCAGATATCCAGCAGAACGGCCACGTAGAGATACGGAGGTAGGGAGAAAGCCTCTAAGAAAGACTTGGGATCAGACCTTAAGGGTGAACTGATCTTGGGGTGATCAACGAACAAAACCAAGGCCCGAGTACCTGGAATGGGGAAGCATGGGGAAGAACAGAAACAGACGAAGAAGATGGAAGCCGGGGTGTGACCCCACGGTCTTTGAAAGCCAGTGGATGAAGCTGGATTTTACTGTAAATGCAATGGAGCATTTTAAAGTGGGGAATGGTTTTGTGGCTGCTTTGAAAGGTTACCCTGGTTTCTGAATGAAGGGGCAAAGGTGGGCACAGGGAGATCAGTTACCAAGCAATAGCCACAGAATTTCTAGGTGACAGAAAATCCCAGGGCCAGGTAGCAAGAGAGAAAATGAAGGGAAGCGGTATCCATCTAGTGCACATCCAAAGCTTTTTTTTAATATATATATATATATATATTTATTTTTTAGGTGTAGATGGACACAATATAATGCCTTCATTTTTATGTGGTGCTGAGAATCGAACCTGGGTCCCACCGGGTTAGGGGAGCGCTCAACCACTGAGCCACAATCCCAGCCCCCATCCCCCATCCGAAGCTTTGACTGCAGATTTGGTGAGAGAGAGAAAATGAACTGAGCTGATGGGCAAAATCAATCTCTTAAATGTGTTAGGTCTCTTGTTTACATCAGGGTCCCTGGAGGGGAAAAGATTGCAAATAATACACTCTCCAACAGGCCCTTAGACAGGGAGCCCACCAACAAACAAATGTCAACAGTTTAGCCATTATTCTTCGATAATGGTTCCTCCATCACGGGAAATCATTAGCCCACCATACCTCACCAGCAATACTTCTTAAAATCATCAAGACCAGGTGAAAAGCAATGCCTGCCTTCATTTATAAATGATGTGTCCCCGTGGTTTCAGTGGCACTTTCAGTCTTCCAAAGAAAGCAAACCTAAAACAGGTTCAGGTGAAGAGCTATGGCCTTTGGAGTACAAAATGTGCTTCTACACGTCATCTGAGAATCTAACCAAAGGACAAATGGCACCTGTACCTACATGCTTGTTTGGTACGTAATTCAGCAGAAAATCAAAGTCTCCATAAAATTTTAACCTATCTCTGATACTGTCATTATTGGGAACCTACTCAAGTTTTGACATGGTATATACAAGTATCAGGTTGATGCTATTAAAGGTTTTAGGCTCATAAGCGGTCCACATGTGAATTCTGTCTTGTACTGGGTTTGACTTAGAAAGAACCACCCTCACCCAGCAAAAGGCAGGGTTTCTCTAAAATTCATTTACATCTTTTTCACTTTGATAAGCATTTTAAATGTATTATTCAATATATAGTAGAAATACTTAAATAGTTGACCTCAGGATTGAAAACTGTCAAAAAATATTTTTTCAAGAGTTAACACAAATACTTGAATTCAGTTTCATGATAGCTATATTTATAGCAAATCATTAGCATTCCCTATCATTGAAATAGAGCTCAGAATTGACAACAACTCATTTCTCTTTGCTGGAGGCAACCCCTTAACAGTATTCTTCAGCTTTTAAGCAGAAAAATTAAATCAAAATGGAAATTTCAGAACACCAATAACATACCTAACAGCAAAATATTCAGTCTTTATGTTAAGCTAGAAAGAGTGAGTAAATAAGTGTAGCAACTACTCTCTCCATTTTCTGTTAACTGTAAGTCACTTTCGGTAAGAAAGGAACTGTCATTATGTGTTCAATTCATAGTGCATAATTTAAATACTGTGGAATTGCTTAAGAACTCTAAACAAATCTTATCAAACATTGCCTTACAGTTCCCTATGTGGAAAGCTGAGTGTATAAAATCATTGGATTTTCATGGAATTTGGCAGCTGAAATGATTTCTTATAAGTCCTTTGGGATGATATGACTTTTTCACCATCGGGGCGGGGGTTAGTGATGGAGAACATAAAAGAAACTGTTCACAGAGAAGCACAGGGCCGGGTGCTAAGCACCTCCCTCAGACAAGGTCAGCTCCAACTCAACCTGTGGAGTGGATGTGGGACCCTCAGGACAGCGAGGTTAGTATCCAATTCAGGTAGTCACAAGTAATGAGCGCAGAGCCAAAAATGAAATCTGACTTTCCACTGCCATCACATAGCTCTTTCTCATACCCAAGATGCGCACAAAGGCACACCATATAACCTTCTCTTGTCCAAGTCATTGAATGATATAACCATTCATACGTCCATGTTGCCAATGTGCTACCTCCTTATTATTTTACTTAATGTATGTCAGGCATTAGTAAATTCAAACATTTATAAAATTGTGTTCCTAAAAACTATTTTCGCTACTATTTATCTTTAATAAGTACGTAAAGCATCACAAAATAACTTAATCCTTTTTAAAAAGAAGTTTCAATCTACTGTGAACCTTCAGGAATCTGACACAGATTGCCATTTTATTCATGGAAAACAAACAATAAATGATCATTGTTGCTTCTAGGGAAAACATGAATGGTTCTGATGGTTCCCAGATCCCCAGCAATTAATTCATGCCTTCCCACTGTGGTGGCTCTAATGGGCAAGCCCGAGCCTCGGTCAGTGACAAACTCTGAGATTGTTCATGGAGGGCCTCAAGGTGATGAGAGCCAAGGTCACAACTTCCGCTTTATCAATGTCCAGCTTCACTGCTGGAAATCTCCATGCCTTCCTGCTACTAAAATTCCAAGGAGGAGGAAAAAGGAAACAGTGTATTTCCCCTGCGTTCTTGGCCAATTCTATTTAGGGAAGAACTTATTAGCAAAAAGATAACTTTGGCACCTAAATTCAGGAGCATATTTTTCTATTACTCAACATCTGACTGTGCATCTGTGAGGAATGTGGTGTGAACTGCAGAGAATGAATAAATTAAAACAGACTCTATGCAGTCGTCAACCACTACACCAAATAGGAGCTCTCTGACTCTTGAAATGGGTTTCTCTCACAGACTCACTTAAGAAAAACAGGGCAAGGGTTCTGAGAAGAAAAAAAAAATCCCAGCTTTTGCATCTTAGGGGGAGAGACAGTGTATACCCTCTACTATCTGGGAATATCTGGTGGAGAATCCATGGTTCAGGTCTTTTGTGATGGGTGTCCATACCATGGGGATGAGCAAAGACAGAACAACAAAACTGGCTGTCTCAAAATGACCTAAGCAGAAACTTCCTGTGCTTCCAATTCCCTGTCTGTCCAGGAGAATTTGGCATACGTGGACCCTGAAAAACAGAAAATGAATGAACAGCTTGTTTTCTGCATCTCACGAATACAGCAGTACAGTAGGTCTCGCTTAGGAGTCCTGTAGATTCAGACGAACTACAGAACAAGGAGCTGGCACAGACATTTTCTGTAACTGCTTGCGTGTCTCAATGTTTTTATCTCTGTGGTTAGCGCAAGCTTCATGCAAGTCCCCCCCCCCAACTACTCACCATAAGGACATGTGGTGTGAACAGAAAGAAAACAAAGGGGAAAAGAAGACCTTATGGGGACCTAGGAAGGCAAGCTGCCTGTAAATATTTGTATCTTGCCTTTTAAAGCAGTTCTAGGCAGTGAGCCTTGGAGACTCACACAGCATGAATAACCTTTGATCAAATCAATAAAGAAAGATGAAAAAGACAACTTCTATTGCTATGAAATACAAAATCAAATGTATGAGAGAATTCCAGACATTCTAATTTTTGTTTCTATTTAATTCTTATAAAATCATAAGACGGGGCTGGGGAGATATATATAGATCAGTGGCAGAGCACTTGTCTAGCGTGCACAAGGCCCTGGGTTCCAGCCCCAACACTGCAAAAATAAATAAATAGATGGATAGACAGATAGATAGATAGATAGATAGATAGATAGATAGATAGATAGAAAGATAGATAGATAATGAAATCAAATCTATTTTTAAATGAATGAATGAATGAATATAGCAGCTTCCTGTAACCTACATGTGCCCTAAGTAACATGTCTACAAATGATGTCTTGGAAATCAGATCCCTCTGGCTGTTCTGTGGCAGACTGCATTGAACAGAAATACACACAAGTCAGTATCTCTCGACTACTTCCTATATAGAATATGCTCAATTTGACCAGTTCCCTTTCCAATCCTGACACTTTCTAGGTAATGTACCAAATTCCAGAGCCAAATTAACAGAATTTGGTCTTCTCCAAAATTCTATATCATGGTGTCTCTGACACCCAGCAATTAATAAGTGTTAACAATACCATTTATTACCATTCTTAAACAGGAAAAAAGGGGGGGGGGAACTCTTCTGAAACTTAAGACCCTCCTGTACTATAAGGGTTGATCAGAGAGTTGAATTTTCATCCTTTAATATAAACGAGAGGCCAAATAATTAATTATTCTGTTTTTACTGTAATGCATCAGCTTTTATCTTGATGCATTAGAAATGGATGGAGACAATGAAGAATGGTGTTAAACGATCTCACTGGCATACAAATGACTTGCTTGAAAATATTCTCTCATCGAAGTCTCTGAAGGCACTGATAAAAGGATTCCTTGCTCCAGGGTTATTTAATCCAGGCCTAAAGAGCTGCTAAAGGGCTCCCAATGTATGCTTCAAATACACTGTCAAGAAAGCCTGAAGAGATGAGCTGGGCCGCCATCTTCCTTCCTGCCCTAGAGGTGACTTAGAAGACTAAACAAATGGCCCTATGGCAGGAGCTTTATGCTGATATTCTGATTACGGAGTTGAATGTCCCACACAATGTACTAAAAGAATGATTGAGCAGCCACAAGTATGATGTTCCATTTATATTCTTTTTCTCCAATGGGCAACTAAGCCAATAAATAGCTCTTTCAATTTTTAAATCCACATATTTCCAGTTCAGTGGGGATTAACTCAAAACCCTAGAGCCAAAAATAAATTTGAAGAAAAACTAAAATCCTGAAATGCAATTCATCTTAAGAATTTTCTTTTTAAATAGGTTCTTTATGGTTTTTTTTTTTAAGGTTTAATCACAGCGAACCTGCTTCACTTCATGTGTTGATAATTTTTTTAATTACTGTGGTTTTCACAATGGAATTAGTTTAAATCCTTCAACTTGTCTATTTAAAATGAATGCAAAGTAAATCTGTCAAGGTAAACACTTTCTATGCAGCAAATGAGAAGTTACACTAATTCCTTACTTTGAACTCTTGTGTTCATAGGGGGGTCCTCAAACATGCAGAGAAAGGGGCACTTGCTCCCTTGAGCCAGATTTTGACAAACGGGTGAGAAATGTAAGAAGTTGCAAAGGAAGGGTGATAATTCAAAGCAAAACTGAGACTGACATGAGGTCCCAATGTGTTTACCCAGGAAAAACTGTCCTAGAAAGGGTCACAGGTTTGGGCAGAATAAGAGTTTCCTGGGCTCCACTGTGCTTCTGTCCCGCAGTAGGAAGAGGAAGACAGATTAAACCATTCGCTGGGAACAGGGAGGTCATTCATTCTAGGCTATCACCAGGGGCCAGACCCTTGAAGAAGTCACCCTAACCTAATGCTACAGAGGTTGTAGATTCAGCCTGGGTGCAAGGGCTTTGTACAGTTGAAATTTGACCCCAAAGAGTTTGTGGGTGGGAAGCTTGATCCTTACCATGGCGGTACTGGAAAGTGGTGGGACCTGTAAGAGGTGGCTTAGTGAGAAGTGCTTAGGTCACGGAGGGCACTGATCTCAGAAGAGATTCCTAATCCTAGTTCTCAAGACAGCAAGTTGTTGGATGAGTGAAGCCACCCCTGAATTGTTCTCTGGCTTCTTGTTTCTTGATGTGATCTCTTCCTCTCAAACTAGTTTCCACCATGATGTGACATCATTCCCCTGTGGTTACTGCTGCCTGCACAAGGCCTTCAAACCTACAGAACTATGAGCTAAATAAACTTCTTTTCTTGACAGAGTTGGCCTGTCTCAGGTATTTCAGTACAATAGCAACAACAACAACCACAACAAAAATGGACTAACCACTAGGGTTTTCAATATCCAGATTCATCATGAAAAGAGCTTTTTCAGTGACCAGGCAAAATGCTGAGAGTGATCATCTCTGGATGGCTGACTCTGTCTTTTGGAGAGTTTCCACAAAAGTATTATTTTTATAATGAGAAGAAAACAAATCAACAAAATATTTCCTCTTAGAGACAAATACCCATCAAATACTCTTTCATCCAGGAGATTATCTATGGTTTTTAACTCAGCTTTATAATAGAAATAATAATTGTAATTTGTTTTAACATTTCATCCTGCACTAACATAGCTTGGCACCTCTATGCTGCAGATGGACCACACCAGTGAGGGCCTGAAGTTTGTGCAGGATGATGATATGCAGGACACCTGGAACAGAGGCATACGGAACACTCTTAAAAATTCAGATTCCTCAGGCCTAAAAGTGCAGGAATAATCAGCATGCAAATGTCTAGGTTCCATTTCCCAATTCAAACAGAATCTCTCACGGGAGGCTGTGTGGTTAGGTAATTTGAAAAAGCAACTACAGGATTCTAAAATGCAGCCTGGACTGAGAATGGTCAGATTATATATCCACATTCTTAATGAGCACCTAGGAGACTCTTAACACACAAAAAAGTTTGCAATGACTGGTGTATAGTGAAATTAACAGCCTCTCCACCACCCCAGAGCATTTGGAGGCAGAAATGACAAGTAGATAACGAAAGATCACTAGCGCTAGACAGGGCCATCAGCGTGTGCATATTTTGAACACTGCCACAAAACGAGCTTGGCAATCTTAATGCTTTTTTGCATTTCATGTATATACACGCCATTCTGCTCTTGCAGGTTTACTCAGAAGGTATTTGCAGATTGCTCTAGAATCTGAGGATCTTGGCTCTAATAATAATGTAGTACTCACATTCTGATATTCTGATTTTGTAGTGGATATATTTCTCCAACTCAGTTGCGCTCCATCTTCTCCCCCAAACAATACTAAACATGTTATCACCTCTATTAGTAATTCTTACTGAACCAAAGTTGAAAGCATCTTATTTACTCTTCTTTCCAAAGGAGCACCTCCCTTAAATTAGAATGGGGTTGCAGCTGAGGACAAACTGAAGAGGAGGAGAAAGAGGAGTGCACAAGAAAGTGGGTAAAATGCAACTCTGCTCATTACAATTCCTGGGCTACTTTCAGTTTCTATCTCAATGACCACTCCAATCTAGACTCCCATCTAGCCCTTACCAGTACCTAACTGAGTACCTAAACTTGCTGAGTACCTAATCCTGATTTGGCATCTTGGTCACCTAAAAGAGTAGCAGACACTGAATTATTATTATTTTTTTTTGTAAAGCCCCAACCCTTCATTTAACTAATTCTGAATATCAGAAACCCTGTTGAATCCTTTCTAATAACATCTTCACTTGCTTTCCCCCCTGGCATCCCCGTTGGATTTTGAACACCATTCACCAAATCCAGTCCATGATGGAGTCTGTGTCACAACTAGGAACACACTCTTTTTACAGTTTGAGAAACACTGGTCCGGAGAAAAACATGAAATAGTAACAAAATAAGCACATAGATTACAACCTACTATAATGATTTTCTGCTGGTGTCCATCCTCGGCTGGATCTTTGTAGGTCTGGAATTGAGAGACTATTTCCTCCCACATTCCTCCCTGACCCTTATTTTTTCTCAATGCAACACAAAGGGCAGCCATATCCACATTACTTGTTGATTCTCAAGTCTCATTTTGATCCTCACCACACCAACTTCAGCAATAAAGATCCTACTGGATGACCTGCATGGAGTTCTCCAAGTGCTCCAAGAGTTTGAGTCTTCCAATGCCCTTGAATATGCTGCCTTGTGTCTAGAAGCCTCCAACTCACCCATTTTCCACAGAACTACTGAACCCTGATGCTTCCAAATGCAGCTTTAACACCATCTCTACTGTGCAACCTCTCGAGTTCCCTCCTCCCCAGGGACAGATTCATCTGGGCATCCACTAGACTCGTGCATATTCTGACCACTAAGTATTTCTTACTAAAGTTGTATTAATCTTAGCTTCAGAGAGTCTCTGTTACCAGCTGTGAGATTCTCCAGGGCAAGTGAAGGTTTTCTACACACTCTCTCCTAGAAGTTGACCTTAAACCTAAGGTGTTCAGTAATGAACTCCAGAACATGTTTTTTCCCCCAACCACCTGCAACCTTCTCCAACAATCAACCCATCCTTCTAGGGTCTTAAGCCAAAGAAAATAGGAATCAACAACAACAACAAAAACAACTTTCCCTCACATTCTGTGTGGTTCATCAGCAAATCCTGTCACTCTACCTTCAAATTGTATCCAAAGTGTGACCATCTCCCCACCTATACCCACCACACCTTCACCTCCACTGATATCCACTACACCTGCACCTCTACCACTATGCCATGTTTTTACCACTACCAATACCCAACATATCTTCAACTCGACCACTACACCTTTACCTCTATCAATACCCACTACACCTTCACCATTCCAATACCCAACATACTTTCAAGTCTACCAACACCCCATTCCAACTTTACTTCCACCAATATTACCACAACTTCACCTCTACCACTACCTCCCCATCCAGCCCAACATCATTGCTTGATCAGTTACTCCAATAACCCCCAACTGGTGTCTCTTTTTGTTTCTGCATACTCTATAGTATATTTTCCATAAATCAACAAAGTCAATCCTTTTATGAATACAAATCACATCAATTCTTTGCTCAAAATCCTCCAATGACTCCATTTCACTAAAGTAAAATCCCGAGTCTAGAACACTACTTTGATGCTTCCTGTTCAACTTCCATTCCACTTACCACTGTGGCCGGCCTCAGGGACCTCCCCACCACTCCCCTGACATCAGAAGGACACTCTCACCCGCAGCCTTTGCACTCGCCATTCTTACCTGGAATGTGCTTCTCTCTCCCCTGGCTCATTCCCCTACCTTGTCTGCATCTTTGTTCTAATTTACCTTCTCAGAAGGTCTTGACCATCTGCCCCTCTTACTCTCTATGCTCCATTTTATGTTCTGTTTTCTCCTTAAAATTTATCACTAACTAGATATTTTAACTATTTCTGTTATTTACTTTGATTTTTTTTTTATCTGTCTTATCCAACTGGAGGCTCTAAGCCTTAGGAAGTGTGGTGGGTACTGATGGAGGGTTTTTATCTACTGCATTCACTGTTGTATATGCTTTGTCTAAAACAGTATGTGGCACAGGGTAGGTACTCAGTGACTATTTATTGTATGCATAAACTCAGCTTTGGGTTTCCAAGTCCTTGAACAGTGAGTGTCAGGCACTTGAGGCATTCTCTACATTGTATCTGCTGAATTATGACACCAATCTGTTCAATTCTTATAAAGCTATTTCAGTTCTAGGTAAAACGGTACTACCAATAACATGTGCATCAGTGTTCTTAGGATCATTTTTCACACCAGTGAAAAGAGCTTGGACACTGATGTTAGTCAGGTAGTCATAGCTGGAATCCCAGCTCTACTGCCTGTTAATTATGCATGCTTGGGCCGTGTGACCTCACAGATCACATGTTTTTCATCTTTAACATGTACCTTAAAAGATCATTGTAATTGTAATGACCCGAAGTAATACACACACATGTGTATATGTGTGTGTATATATAAATATGTGTGTAGTATATATGTGTGTGTGTGTGTATACATATATGTATATACACATACACACAGTATTGTCTGAGCACCAAAGAGAACACATAGAAGCACAGAGCAATCAAAGGATATTTAAACTTGAATGCTACATCCAAGAAACAAGATATGACCTGCCTCGCTGATGTTTGGTTAAACAATTTGGGATGAATCTTGCCTTTTTCAAGGAGGATTAACGACAGAAGTCAAAAGGCTCTTATGAAAGACATTAATAAAGCCATTAATCACTTTTGCCAGTTGGTGTCAGTTGTTGACCTCCTACAAACTGATGGCACCTGACAGACAATGTTCAAAATTTAACTCTATCCCTTTCTAGCCATGCAACTTCAAACTATTAAACTCTGTAAAGATCAACTGATAGAAGTATCAATTGGAAAATGCCCCCAAAACAAAACAAAACAAAAAAAAAACATAGCTCTTACAATTGTTGAGAAGGAAGTAAAATCATGCACAATGGCACAGCATTTGACAGAGCAGAACACTCACAGGAGGCACTTAGTAAATGGGCCATCATCATTTTTAGGCCTATAGAGCAGTTCCTCCTGTTCCCAACTCCTGGCTGGCATTTCTGGGGGTTTCTTTAGTTTGGTTGGTGTTCTGTTTTTGTTGGTGTGTCTGTTTTGTTCTGCTTCTTGCGGGGCTGGAGATGGAACCCAGGGCCCAGCACACACCAGGTGAGAGCTCTACCATGGTGCTGCATCCCCAGCCCTTGATGCAGTGAGAAGAACGTGAACACTCCTTCAACCCCCAGCACGGGGTGGATGGGGTGGGGATCATGTTAAAATTGATGGTGAGTTGGGCCAAGTTCCTTAAAACTTATGAAATATCATCTGCCCCTAGCTTTCTAGGCCTTAAGGATCACTAGTGCTCATATAGTCATAATTATTAAACCAAATTTAGAGTTGAGTTGAACTCTCCCCATACCACTGTCAGAAGAAACAACAGCAGCGTCTACAGCTTTTATGCATTTACCATTTCCAGCAGCATGCTTCTGTGAACACTGCTGAAAATCAGGGCTTAGGAGAAAATTACTTCTCACCAGGACTGTCTCAGAAGGAAGATAAGGGAAAAGAGTTCAGACAAAGGTCACATGGGACAAAGATGCCCTGGGTTAGCCAGGAAGACAATGAAAACAGATTTTCTAGGGACTGGAAAACTATGAAAATCAGAATTACCAGAGACTAGTTCTCATCTGATACTATAAATAGTTTGTCTTCTTCATTTAGCTTCTAAAAGACATGATAAAGCATATGCTTTCTCCCAGGTGATGGGAGAAAGTGGGAATCATTTACTGAAGCATCATTTTTATATTGCTAGTGTCCAAACCCCACTGAAAATACACCTCCAACTGAAATATCCTTTGTTCTAGGCTTGTTCAGAGTGTTCCTCTTCTTTCTCCCTATTCTCTGAATGTATCCTCTCATTCCTCCCCATCATGTACCTACTTCTCATATATAACAGAATCTAGTAGGAATCACTCCTTTTTGGTGTCTCCAATAAGCAAATCCGATAACAAACCCCAGACCAGTTAGGCAAAGAGTATTAACGTGACAAGCCAGCATACTGGGCATAACCGCGAGCACAAAGATGATCCTCAGGGATTTCTCTCAATACCATCTGCCTGGAGGTGCTCAGCAGCTTCTCAAGGGATGTTATAAGACCAACTTAGCAGAGGCTAGCTTCAGAGTCTAGTTAGGAAAATACCCTGGAAGATAAGAAAAGGCAAGGATTATGGGACTGGGGGTGTAGCTCAGTGTTAAAGGATGAGTTTAGCATGTGTGAGGCCATGGATTCTATCCCCAGCATTACAAGAAACACAAAAATGCCAGTTTTCATAATCAGACCTTGGTAAAGTGTTAAGAACTTCCTCATGAAATCAAACAGGTTTTTGCCTTTTTTTTTTTTTTTTTGGAGAGGATGTTTTTAACAGAAATAAATTCCTTTTAAGATTTCCAAAATAAATAAATAAATAAGCTGAAGAACACTTAAGGAGGCCACTAGCCCAGTGGCAAAGGAGGGCTGAGGTCCTCAGCTGCCCCAAACCAGCAGCTCCACCACCTCCCTCCAAAGTGAATATTTCTTCCTTTGAGTTGAAGGATTATGTCTTAAGTGGCCACCACCTTTGCTGGTGACACATGAACGGGGACGAGTTCAGCAGAGGTGTTGCAGCCGCCAACGGACAGCAAAGTTCTAAGGAAATGGAGTGGAATGTAGTAGGAACAAAGAAATGGTTAGAAATTTAAATGGAATTGAAGACATTAATCTTCCCATTTCACGGTTTGGTGCTTTAGAATCACACTAATCTAAAAGGAATCAATGGAGATCAGAAAGGTAAGGAAGTCTACTGACCCCCAACTGCATATACTCAAAGCAGAGGTGCTGCCCCCACACCAAGCAGAGTGACATCAGAGTGAAATTGGTCTACAAAGCACTTCCGAGTAAATTTCTCCTAAAAGGGTTTAGGTTGTTTTTTGTTATTTTCCTGCTTTGTTTGGGTAAAATAGTTACTTTAATCATGCTCAAGTTATAGCCATTCACTTATTTAATTATTCAGTAATATGGACAGTCAGTCTTCCATAGTCACAGAGTTTGTATCTACACAGTCGACCTACCATAAATAAAAAATATTTGGGGAAAAAATGAACTATTTTTGTCATATTCCCTAAACAACACAAGTTCAACAACTGTTTATAGATTGTACTAGATATTACAGTAATCTGGAGATGGTTTAAAATATATGGGAGGATGTGCACAGGTTATACAGAAATACTATGCTACTTAGGCCTTGAGCATCTGTGGATTTCCATATCCTTCCAGGGTCCCAGAACTGGTCCCAGAACCAGTCCCCTGTGGATGCTAAAGAATGACTATATATTATGAGCTTGGTCCTGAGGACATGAGACTTGTGTATCTCATTCTCAATGTGGCCTACTTTTAATTTTTATCAATGAACATGTTATAGAGTGCACAGAGTGAGTAAATTAATCTAGTACTTTTTCAAAAGAATATTTCATTACTTTCAATTTTTTTTATCTGACAAAAAATATTAAATTATTAAATGTATAATGTTTTTTATCTTAAATGCTAGCTCATTTGCCTACTATTTAAAAGAATAAATGAGGAGTTCACTGAAGACATCAATCTGCTTTAAAAAAAAAAAAAAGAACATTTGAAGTCACTCTACTTGTGTGCTATTCTTTTACTAAAGTGAGGGGAAATGATTTGGCTCCACAACCAATGGATATTCCAGAGGCCCCGGGATATGTGTAAAATGGTAAAAGCAAAAGGAGGGAGAAATCTGTTTGACCAAAGACCTTATTCCCCATTAACCACAGGCAGACAAAAGACTATCATCCCTGGGCCTCTTGTTTCTTCCTGTCTGCACGGCACCTTTTGATAAGCCTGATCCCAGCATTAGGATTTCATCCCAAGGGAAGGAGGAAAAAACAGAGAGCATGCAGAATTCAAATGAATTCATTCAACTTCTCTGCAATATCTCCTTGGAAAGACTGAATCAAAGAAGCAAGCAGAGATGGCTGAACGTATTGAGTCTCACCCTTTCTTTTAATAGCTGTGGTATGTACACCCAACTTTTATTTGCAAAGAATCAAATGATGAGAACTTGGATTCGCTGTTCTTCGAAGGGAAGGAATTTGGCTTTGGGCCAGATTTTTCATAATGAGACTAGCAAAAATCAAGATAACGCTGGTCAAATATTAGATGCAAATTTCACAATTCTGAACTGATGTCTTTTCTTTTTCCCCATTTATCATATAAAACATTAAGAGTAATTTTCAAAGAGATGACTCCCACTGCTTACTTTACAAGGACCATTAACATCCCAACTTTTCACATGTGCACTGAATACCCCTGGCCAGAATGTTTCATAGAATCACCTTACTAGACCTTAAGAATGCAGGAAAATCAATCTGTGCCCAGGTAGTTGCAAAAGATTTCCCAAATAAAATGATATTTGAGAACAGCTCTGTTGAGAATAGCTAGTTCATAAGACAAGGAAATCAGGTGGAGTTAGAATTTTCTTTCTGGTAAAATTCAATACTGAGGGAAAACAGGTATAGATTTTTAAGAGGAATGAGAGGGCAGTTAGACCAACTCGTACTGCTTGGTTGTTTATTGTGTGTTCTCTGAGCACAGAGTTCACAGAACCCTGTATATGCTAGAGAACCAGCGATGAGCAAAGAGACATGGATGTACACTCCCACCCTCAAAGACCTCATAACTTAGAGAAAAGCACACCCAAGCCAATTGCTCTCATTAGAGTGGGAAATGCCATGAGATGGGGAAATCCTGGCTGGTACAAATCACAGAGAAGGACCACTTACCCTCTAATGGGGAAAGGGGAGTTCCTTTCAAAACAAAAGTGAAATCTGATACCCAAAAAAGATGGTCCAGTGAAGGAGGGTAACTTGGCTCAGATGGGGACAGAACAGAGGTGATCAGGAATCCAATCACAAAGAGCCCTCCCATGTGAATTAAGAGCAAAGGGGAGAGGGAGTGCAAGTGGAACAGTGAGGTTGGATTTGGATTGGGGTTTTAGACACATCACACTGGCTAGAGAGTAAATGGGTTGGAGAACAGATCTGGAGTCTAAAAGCAGAGAGGAAGACCAGTGAGGAACATGTTACAATGATCCAGGAGAAAGAAGATCAGAGCCTGGATAATACTGTATAATACTGCAGAAATGAAGAAGGGATTTGGGAGGAAGGGAGACTAGGGAATTTGGAGTCCCTCATTATCTCCATTAGTTCCAGCTCCCACCATATGCCATTCCTAGACCATTATTACCAACTCCAAAGTTAAAAATGGCTGGCTATGCAAATGCAGGGGTAAGATAAATCCTTAGTTCTCCACTTCCAAATAGTTTACCTGGCTAAGCTCCACCAATGTAAATATGTTAGACCACCACTAAGAGTCACTAGTAAAGAGATTTACAAAAATATAATACACAGAATTTGTCAGATGAGGGAAACAGAATCAGCCAGGCACTTGGGCACCCAGTGGATGGGGTGCTCCAATCCCTTGGTTGGGGAATGTAGCTGTTGTCCCCAGTGCTGTTCCTAAGTATTTCTGGTTTTCCTCTCTCCAGGCACATAGTAGGACCACACCTCCTTGTCAGCTGGGGTCCCTCAGATATTAACAGGAGTCAAGACCCTCTTGTAAATTACAAAGCATATACAGCTCAAACTAAATGTCAGTCTTTGCTCTTTTAAGCCTCAGAGATGAAAGGGTTGATATGGCAGATAACCTGGCCTTCCCTAAGTGAGCTGGAGAGGTCACATGTCTAGTTAAAAGGAGAACTGAAATACAGTTATGTCTGTGCTGAATCTGGAGCATCCAGAAACAGGAGAGAATACAATGGCAAGATTCAAGAGGAGGTAGCAGCCCAGAAAATGGAAGGATTTTTCTCATTTAAATATTTATGGAGCATCTTCTCTGTGACTCGGTCAGACACTGCTCATTGGTCTCCATCTGTTTTAGAGAGTCAGAGGGTAAGAGCCCAGACTCTGAAGCCAGACTGCTTGGGTTTACCACAATTAATTAGCTGTGTAACTTTGGGTAAGTCATTTAACCTCTCTGAGATTTGGGTAAGTGGGAATAACAATCATATCCACAAAAGGGATAATAATCATTTCCTTCTCATTTGCTTAGGAGGATTTATTGAGAGAATTCACGTTAATTATACAGTGTCTGGCACATATTAAGTACTCAGGTATTAGCCATTATTTATTATTTATATTTCACCTTGCTAAACCCAATACATATAGAATATAGTATCTTATAGTTATTATGGCTCATGCATAATGAACTAAAAATCAAGATAATTTTAAATAGATGTCCTAGCAGAAATCTGATGAATAAAAAATATGATAGAGCAAAGCTAGTTACATTTTAAAACATAAAGTTTCATCAATTAAAAAAGTAATAATGACTTTGGTCATGTTCACACACAGGCCAAAAAAAACCTAATTATTAGGTTGCAAACATGGAAGAAAATGAGCATTTTTCAGTGTGTCTCGTGTATTAAATTACAACCCTTGACAGCAACAGAGATGACATCAACCCTTACGTGGTGATTATTTCAGTAAGAAATGCTCCTTCTTCCTTCCTGCCCCAACGTATTTGAAACAGAACACCAGCACAGCTGGTAACACTCGCTGATGTTATAAGGTTCATCTTCTCTTTACAGGAAAAAAAAACAAAAACAAAAACACAAAACATTAAGTTGATACACATTTTTGTAAGTGATTTTGCCAATCACAAATGGTATAAAATGTTCTTGCACTTCTTAGGAGTAATTTGAAACAATAACCAAAATAAGATGTCACATTACATCACATAAATGGCAAAAATGTAGGTCATATGGCAGGATTGCTCTGGAAATATACTTTCCTTCTCCATTTATGTACACAGCATTATAGTCCACCTGCAAATAATTATTTTATTTCCCAAGTGGTTTTCTCCTCTTTAAAGGACAACTTTATTTGCATTGGATACCATTAATATATGTACTATTTTATTTATTTATTTTTTTAGAAAACCCAATAGTGAAGGAAAGTCACAAATAAAACACCTCTTAAAATGAACCTCTTATGAAAAATGCTGAGTCTCATAAATGTATCCAATCACAGGAATGATTACTACTTTCTTCGTATTAATTTGGAGCTCAAGGTTTGTGTTTGTGTGTGTGTGTGTGTGTGTGTGTGTGGTGTTTTTTTTTAACAGACAAAATATTTCTCACTCCATATGTTTCTGAAGAGAAGGTGAGATTTCCTTGGTCCTAGAATCTATTAGTACAAGCAGGGTACAGCCGAACCCATAATATTCTGATATTCCCAATTACATGTACATAATGTTTATTTGCTATGCTCTCTTTAAGTCAACATGTAGGAAGCAGTCAAATGTTTCAAACACACAATTCTGGACTATAAAAGAAATGCATGTGTTTGTTCTCTTTGTCCCAGAGCTTCGGAGCCCACACTATTTCAGTAATTGACCATCCATCTATTATTACTAAAGTAGAGTCATTTTCACAAGTGTCTAAAGCCAGCATATGCTGGACAGGACACATTATTTTTATTCTACATGCACTTTGGTTCCCTGGTGTCCAAGGCAAACAGCTGTCATTTACATCAGGCCTTTTGCTAACACTTTCTGTAATTCCTAAGGGGCTTCCCAGCCTATAATTAGGCCTTCCAGCTGCCACCATGTACACTGTGGGGCGGTACTGAGTGTTTCTGCTTTACAGCATTCCCTATAAAACGCTCTTCGAGATGGTATTGCTGGAATAACACTGTTTGGAATTCAGCTCAAACAGCAAAGAGGAATTCTCAACCAGTTGCTATGAACAAGTTTGTTTAACCAGCCAGGTCTGTTTGGAAATCAACTCTGCATCAGCCACATGGGCAAGGAATTGAGACTAAGCATAGGAAAGAGGAAGTAGAAAGCAATACTCGGAACTTCCTAATTTTAAGTTGCAGAGAACATCAGTATTGAACCAGTGACAACAGGCTCTCTTGGATTTTTACGTAATTCGCCTTCCCAGGGATCATCCCCATGATTAACTGAAATGGCCCAGCAAGAAGGAACTAGGAGAGAACAGGCTCAAGTCTCACTCTGTTTTGAAATCCTTCGGTCAACAACGCCAGAAAAGAGAGTTATGTGAGTCCAAGTTCTAAGTCCAAAACAAAAGAGGAAGAAGCAGGCTTTAACCTGGAGTAAGTCTTTCAAAGAAAACGAAAGTCTGCTTTTTTTTTTTTTAAATGGAAACATTTTCAACATACACAGTGCTGCCACCCACCACCTCTCTCGGTCCAGCCCTAGTATTCCCAGGAAACAAATGCTCAAGGGCTGATTTTTCTCAGCAGAAGACCCACTACAATTCCAGAGGGAAGCCTGTCCACCAGAACCATCCTCAACCCAAGATGCCGTGGTTTCTCTGACTACAAAACTGCCACAGTCCTAATGACCTGAAAGGCAAGCACCAATATAAAGCCAAATACGTTAACAGCCGATAAGTGATAGTTTTTATAGTAGTTGCTAGTCAGCTTTCCATCACTGTAACAAGATACCTGAGATAAGCTACTTACAAGGAGAAAAGATTTGTTTTGTCTCACAGTTTCAGAGATTTCAGTCCACAGTTGCTTAACCCCTTGCTTTGGGCCTATGGCAAGGGAGAACATCATGGCGGGAGTGCATAGTAGAGGAAACTGCCCACCTCATGGCAGCCAGGAGATGAAAGATAGGGGAAAGAAGTCCTGTATCACCTTCAAGGGCATGTCCCCAATGACCAACATCCTTCAATTATATCCCAACTCCTAAAGTTTCCAGCACCTCCCAACAGTGCCATCAGCTGGGGGACAAGCCTTCAAAACATGAGCTTTTAGGGGGCATTAAAGATTCAAACCATTAACAGGCGTAAGATATTTTTACTAACAAATCTCTCAAGTGCCTCAGATGTCCTTGGTCTGAGTACCAAATCCAAGGACTGATATTCCCAAAGTCCTCACTCCTACCATGGCTGTGCTCCTCCTAGGTAGTTGACATTGACCATGACTGGGAACGCTCTGAGCCCCAAAGAACAAGACAACTAAGACCCCTGGTGTATCTGTTTTGTGGGTTTTTGAAATTCCAAAGTGAGAGGACACTGCTCTTAGTCAGCTTTCTGTTTCTATAACAAATAGCTGGAGATAGTCAACTTATGAAGACAAAAAGTATACTTTAGTTCATAGTTTTGGAGGTTCAGTCTAGGATGGGATGGATCAACTGCTTTTAGGGCCCCTGTGGAGGATAGCACATGAAGCACATCATGGTGGAGGAGTAAAATCACTCATCTCATGGCTAAGAAGTGAGAAAAAGAAAGACAATGAGGCTGTGGTCTCACTCTCCTTTAGAAGATACTCGAACAATGAACTGAAGACCTCCAACTAGGCCCCATGTCTTAAAGATTCCATTATCTTCCAATGAAGCCATGCCCAACATGCTCTTCAGCACACGGACCTCTGGAGTAAACTTAAGATCCAAACTATAACAGTACTTAAAAGAAAATTAACAAGCTCAG